AATATTCAGAAACCTCTGAAACGTAAAGATATATAAAAAAATATATTCGATTTTTTGCGATTACTATAACTTACCCTACGGGAAGTTAAAAATCGTCGAATTTTTTTTTTAAAAAACATGATTACAAGAAAACGGCCCGGCCGATCTCTACCAAAAACTAATTAGCACGATTCCCAACCAATATCTTTCAAACGGCTTTTGAATTTTAAAAATCGATTCAGAATTGCGGGCTAAAACGTAGACGAAAAATTTTTCACTTTTCTGCGATTTATAAAGAAACGGCTTGGCCGATCGCCGCACAAAATTGACAAACAATAGTCCTCATCGAGATACATCAAGTGGCTTTTAAATTTTTGAAATCGGTCCAGCCACTTTTGAGAAAACGTCGATTTACGGCAAAAAACTGTTCACACACACGCACACACACACATACACACACACACGCACACACACATATGCTTTTTCCAAATTTGGTCTCATTCGATTCAGAAGGGCTTGAAACGTCGAGAAAACATAAAATTAGCAATTCGGATTTTTTTATGAAAACATAAACTTCTCCTTCGGGAAGTTAATAATGAAAGTTACAGCATTTATAATAATATATTTCGAAACATTTAATATTTTTCGAATATTTCATTACGGTATGGGAAGTTCCAGCAATTTGTCTTGAGGTACGATGCCTTATATCAGTAGTGTTTTTTATTAACTTCCCGAAGGAGAAGTTTATGTTTTTTATTAGCAAATCCGACTTGCTAATTTTATGTTTTCTCGACGTTTCAAGCCATTCTGAATCGAATGAGACCAAATTTGGAAAAAGTATGTGTGTGTGTGTGTGTATGTGTGTGTGTGTGTGTGAACAGATTTTTTGCCGTAAATCGACGTTTTCTCAAAAACAGCTGGATCGATTTCAAAAATTTAAAAGCCATTCGATGTATCTCGATGAGGACTAGCGTTTCTCAGTCTTGTGCGACGATCGGCCGCGCGGTTTTTTGTAAACCGCAGCAAAGTGAAAAATTTTTCGTCCACGTTTTAGCCCGCAATTCTGAATCGATTTTGAAAATTCAAAAACCGTTCGATAGATATTGATTGGGAATCGTGCTGATTGGTTTTTGGTAAAGATCGGTCGGGCAGTTTTTTTGTAATGATTTTTATGATTTTTTTTGACGGTAGATACCATAGTCCTGTAGATCATACTAAAATATTACGGCCCTACGACAAGCAGTTTAATTTTAAAAAATCGTCAAAGTTTGCAAAAATTAGTATCGTTTCTTTGACATTTGACAACATTAAACCTTTGATGGACGTTTTCTCAAAAACGCCTGAACCGATTTCATAAATTTAAAAGCCATTTGATGTATGTCAATGAGGACTATAATTTGTCAGTTTTGTGAGACGATCTGCTGAGCCGTTTCTTTGTAATTTAAAAAAAAGTGTTAAACTTTTCGTCCACATTTAAGCTCATCCTACCGAACCGATTTTATAAAATGAAAAACTGTTCGAAAGATATTAGTTGTAAATGGTACTGATTAGTTTTAGGTGAAAATCTACCGAGCCGTTTTCTTGTAATTAACTGTTGAAAAAAAAATTTAAGCCGATTTTCATGGAACTTTTTTTGGCGATATACATCATGGTCTTATAGAACTTACTGAAATATTGCGTTCTTACGACAATTAGTTTAATTTTAAAAATTAATCAAAGGTTAAGAAAATGAGTAGTTTTTTTCACGTTTGTTAAAATTAAAATTAGACGATTTATTTGGTATAACGATAGAGTACTTGGTTTTAATGAACATAGTAAACCATTAAAGTCCTACGGAAACTGGTTCAATTATAAAAACTGGTGATTTTTGAAAATTTGCTATTAGAAAATACTCCGAGTCAAAGTGTTTGTTCGTTTTCAATCATGAGTAATAGATCCACTCGGAATACTTTTAATCACTCAAATTATTTTTTATTGATTAAGTCGATTAATTACACATATCGGGAAGTTCATGTAACTTGCCTTAAGGCTAAATACCAAACCAACTAGTTTCTTAAAATTTTGTATTACATTTATAAGTATAATTTTCATTTTATTTGTAAATTCACAATAAATGCAAGTGTGTCCTGAATATAGACAAATATTACCTTAATTTTTGTTGAAATTATTTCTATTCTTTAAATATTATATTTGTCATTGTGATGATTAGTTAGAGCAGCAGTTATGCAGTTTTTGCAGCATTATTTATGTAATTATTCCAAATATTATAAATTTGTATTAAATAATGATAGAACTATTTACGAACAACATAATCAATAAACAACTTTTCTGTAAAGTTATTGCAACAGATATTTATATTGTAAGTCGTTGTTTTAGGTGCGGCATATAATGAAAGGTGTAATTCATTATGTGCAATTAGCTGTAGCAGCTGAATACAAAATAGATTTTTATTTTGCAAGAATAATAATAAGTATTTTATTTTTTTGATTAAAATAATTGATGATTAATTATTACAATATTTTTGCGCGTTATGTGATATATGATTTATTTAATTTTTGTAATCTAAGAACAAAATAATAATAGTCATTAGCAAACCTTTGTATTTATTACAAATCCAGGTAAAACCTTAACTATCATAACTGAGATTCATATCTAATTAATGCATTACATGTTGTGCACGTGGTATCTAAAGATCAATCTAGAATATCATACTATGCTCATAAAAAATCAAAGTTGTAGACTATTGAAATAGAAGAGAGTTTATCAATTATTTCCTTTCGAAAGATAAAATGTTTAAAGTAGGTATTAAAACTTTTTAATCGTCTAATTTAACTAAATCCAATGATTCAACTGACAAGTTCTCAAATCTAAAAAAAACTAAAAACAAAAATAAATACGTCGCAAGAATTAAGGTATCGGCTGGTTAAACATCTTTTGCTTTATACTTTAAAATAGTATCATTAAAGAAATCTATACTTAGCTTGTTTTTTTTGAGATAATTGTGAAGGACCTATTTACGCCTTTATTAGATCTAAAATAGGAGTTTCAAGGGCGCGAATATCACATTGTTGTTCAATGATACATACATATTATTACTATCTTTGCATATACGAGGTGTGTTCAAAAAGTACCCGGAATTACTAATAATTAAATTTTGCGGGTCTGGAGTGTCTGATTGTCAAAATTTTTTTTTTATTGTGTTGGTATACATGCCCCTAAAGTATGATGAAATTTTCAGCTATATTCACTGTTTACTTTGTCTGTGGTAGTCGCTAAGGTTTGACGTGTTTTTCTGAGCTCGGCGATTTTTACAATGGAAGAATTGAAAAGTCAAAGAATTTGTATTAAATTTTGCGTAAAAAATGAAATAAAGTGTTGCAAAGTGCAAAAATTCACCAGATATGGCTCCGTGTGACTTTTTCCTATTCCCAAAGTTGAAGAGACCCATGAAAGGACGGCGGTTTTCCTCGATTGAAGAAAATCGCTGAGAGTGCTCAAGGACATATCAAAAAGTGAATATCAAGGGTGCTTCGAAAATTGGAAAAAACGCTGGCATAAGTGTATTATATCTGGGGGGGACTACTTTGAAGGGGACCACATTAATGTAGACGAATAAATAAATATTTTTTTGAAAAAACGAAAATTCCGGGTACTTTTTGAACAGACCTCGTAAGTACACTTTGTACCTTCATCTTATTAACTCGAAATTTTTGGAGATTTATATATATCTACATGTATATATATATATATATATATATATATATATATATATATATATATATACTAGATATGCTTTCGATGTAGAAATGAGTGAAAATGCTTATAATACTTCATCTTCAGTCAATTTTTTAATACAACTATACTAACGTCTTGGCCGAAAAATAGATTTTATGAGCAGACATAGGGTATATCAGCTCTTTATGTTCCGCGGGCAAAAAGGTCCATAAATAATGTCGCAAAAATAAGTAAAGTTTTTAACTTTACAATATAGAGGCAGAATGATGTGTAATCAGCTATTGTCTTGAATCGTGCAATGTTTCTATCAGGAGATAAGCCGTCATGTTTGAAAATCTATAACAGAAGTATTTTCTTTCGTTTTTTATCGGTTGTCACTGTTGTTTAATTTACGAGGCCTTAATATAACTTTTGAGTGTACGTTATTTAATTGTTTTATAAGATGTATTATTATTTTTAAGTTAGATTCAATAGATGTTTTTATATAACCTATATAAAAGCTTTATCGTGGGTGGGTAAAAAACCAGTTTAACCTCTACCCTGACAAAGGCGTAAACAATAAATAGTACTAAATTAATAAATTAAATTGGAACAATTTTACAAAAAATAAATTAATTAAATAGTTATTCTAAGTCTGCTGATAAATATTTCTGTCAAAATACCACATCCGGGTTATTAACAGTATTATCTCTGTTTATAAATAAAATAAAATTTATATCTTGCATTGGTTGAACATTGTAGCTATTATTAATCTTTTTAAAATTAAAAATTAGCCATTCGATCTGCTTGTCACCTGGTTGTCCAATCGGTGAAAAGACCAGGTGGCCAGTTTATGAAGAAAACACAATTTACTACAATAATGAATTATGACACAGCCAGATAGTTGTTTGTTTGATAAGTAATATTTATTGTTATATAATTGCTTTGTTTTTCACAATATATTTGCTCAAAGTCAAATTGGACCTACGTGCCTCGCCCTACCCATAGATAAACCAGTATGGCCCTACTCTACATCTTGCGTACAAAACATTAAAGCATACAATTTAAAGAATGTAGCAATTTCTTTACTTGCAGACGCATTTTAGCTAGAAATAAACTATAGTGCAGTTAGATGCTATCTTTATCATGAATTAAAACAACTATCATCAATTTGTCATTGTCCAAAACCACTCCATTTCATTATATCTCATCAAATGTCAAATCCCTCATGTTTTTTGAAAACAAATGAATTTATTAGTTATACCCATAAACCAATTTTACGACTCTGTTTCACGAATTATTTCGACATGGCCGAACAATTGATGGGAGCCGTAATCGCGATGGCCGGCGACCAATGTGTGGCCATTGCTTCAGACCATCGTTACGGCAGAGGTTCAATAACTTTAGCTACAAATTATGAGAAGGTTTTCCAGGTTGGCAAACATCTCTTTTTGGGAATTGCCGGCATTCCAACGGATTCAGAACGCATTTTAAAGAGGATGCGTTTTAGAAAGAATGTGTACGAAGTCAACGAGAGCAGAATAATGACACCGCAAGTTTATGCAAAAAATTTGTCGAATATATTGTACGAAGCTCGCTTTTCTCCTTACATGGTCGAGCCAGTGATTGCAGGCTTAGAATACCCCGGTAAGCTTGAACAACTTCATTCAGAATAAGGTTTCTTGAATATTCAGAAATTCAGAATAGGGTAGGGCGGCGCACAAAGAGCACAATTTTACTTTCAGTAATTATATTGTCTAAGCTAGTTGTAAGTGGAATTCTGGCTTAAGGCAAATTGCTGGAACTTCCCGTACCGCAATTCAAAATTCGAGTAATTGAAAATAATCAATAATAATAATCAATAAAAGTTGATCAATGATTTTTAATAGAATTTCGACCATAATAAAACATTCTATCTTAAATCATTTATTTTGAAATATTTTTTAAATTCTGAACTTTTTTTCAAAGCAATCGTTACTGCTTTAACTGCATAAAGACGAAATATCAAAGCGCGTAAGCGCCGCGTCACCGTCTAACGCGTAAACATTGGTACGGAACCCATAGAAATGTGAACAAAATTTATATTTATTGTTAAAATCTCTATAAAATGTCTGATAATTTGATGTGCATATGTGTAATGTTCATTTTTGACCGCCAAATGGCTCATTTTTTTACTTTTTCCTCCATATCTCCAAAATCGTTGGACCTGCCTTTCCAAAAAGTTGAATAGTTCTTCATTTAGTCAATACAAATAAAATGTTATTTGTATAATATAAATAATATAAAAATGACGCTCCGTTCTCTTAAAAACTGAGTTACCGTTTTCGGCACTTTTTGCCCCGTATCTTTTGGAACGGCTAGACCTGTCTTCGTCAAAAACTAATCAGCACGTCTCCTTATCAATACGAATCGAATGTTTTTTGAATTATTCAAATCGGTTGATCCGTGTTCCCGAAATCGTCGACGAAAAGTTGTATCCGAACATACATACATACACGCACACACACACATACATCAATTTTTTCTAAGGTATGCCAAAATATTCAGAAGGAATTGAAACGTAAAGATCTATAAAAATTTTCATTTTCGATTTTTTTGCGATTACTATAACTTGCCCTACGGAAAGTTAATTAAATGAACTACATTACAACATATAACACGTATAAACAAGCAACTATCGGACTATGTTTTGTTTTTTTAATTTTAGGAAGATGTTTCTTAGCTATTTTTCTAAAATATGTCATGTTTCTTGTTACCCAATTATTTAATGAAATGATAGTTAAATTATTTAACCTATGTGAAATAAAAATTTCATGGGCACATTTTTCATAAATATTACATCGTATATGACCTTGATCTGGAGTTTCCTTATTTATATTTATCAGCAGCGTTGTAATAACTACTAATTTAATTTATGTCCTGTAATATTACTTTTTCAACTTAATTTACTTTTTTTACTATATTAACTTTACTATACTAGTAAAGTTACTTTACTAAATAATAAACAATAAGTTTGCATCTTTGCCAACGTAAAAGTTTAGTTGTTTTTTTTTTACCCTAAGCACATGTAAGCTTCGTTTGAATCTAGAATCTAACTTAAAAATAACATTACATTTTCTTTAAAGTAGCTTATACTTAAATATAATCAGGTGTCATGAATAAAATAAAAGAACTTAAAATAAAAAAAAAAACCAACGAAACAAAATACTTTTATTATGAATATCTATACATGGCTGTTTAGCCCCGGATATCGATGTCGTAAAAATCAAAGTGATAGCTGGTTATACGTCTTTTGCCTTCTACTTTAGAATAGTATCATTAGAAAATTCTATAATTTTCCTGTTTTTGAAATAATGGGGGTAGATCTTTTTACTCGCGGATTCTTCGCTCCGCTCTACTATATTTGTTAAATACCATGTTTGCAATATTGAGTTATTTAATTTTATACTAAGAAACTTGTTTTAATTTATTAATGATAAAAAACCATATAAAAGTTTAGAATTTAATATTATTCAATGATTTCCAGTTTTTTAGCTTAATGCGGTTTTTGATTGTTCAGTTTTAATTACATAATTTATAATATTCAAACTTCATTGAGTTCAAAATTTTGAAACTAATCGAACTTTGAATATATATTTTTGAATTGATTTTCTGTATTTTATAAAATTGTACTATTCTGATAATGATAAATTACACTAACATTTTTGTTCCAAATCAATTAAAGTATGTATTTAATCACCAAAATGTATTTATGGCTTATCGGTGTAGTATATCTTCAATAATTTACATTTATGAAATGAATAAAAAACATTTATATTTTTATGAAATGTAATATAAAAGCTATGTTGTTGTGTTATGTTGTGGTCACACAATTAACATATGGTATTTACAAAAGCTCCTGTCGCATTCCGCGTTTTTATCACTAAATGTCCACAACAATTATTTCAATTCGTAAGATGATTTTTCAAAACATATTGATAAAGTTAACAATCAAAGAATATACATTATTTGCTCGAAAACATTTTTATGGCTTTGAACATATAAAGTTTTTCAATGTTTTTATATATTTCAGTAAAACTGCAATATATCTATTTCCTTCTTCTAGTGCTTTTATCACTAAACTTTTCTCTTATTTATTTACGTGTGATCCCATTTCTCTTTTCTATCTCGATTTGAAATAAAATTGAGGTATACCTACCTAGTGCAAGTTCGACGTAGTATAAGAACAACGCGATGCCATCGGCGTTGGCTCTCGAAGTTTCGAAGTTATTCAGCAGTAAGTAACTTCTATTAATGCGCACGTAGATCTATGGCACATTTATCACACATTCATATTTTTTGTACTTGACTACCATTGCGTTGGGCCGACTTTTGAGAAACGATACACTTCGTCAATTTTAAATCTCGCCGACAGTATTTCATGAAACTCAATAATATTTCATCCATTTGAAACATCCGTTCCGAATTGTTGTTATTTCGTTATTGAATTTACATGAGAAAATCCATTCATTGCCATTCCGATGAATGCTGTATATAGTCCGACCGTGCGGCGAGATATATATTTGCGGATTCATACAGATTCAAATATTTCATCTTAATAATACGCACACTATCATATCAACCACAGGAAATTCAACCATAGACTGTAGAATCGGAGTAGTAGTCGAATAAGGTACCTTGTCATGAAACTAGGCAACATCAAATTTTTACTATTATCATCAAAGATAATCGACAATTTGTGTTAATATTCCATATCAATATATGTTAGTTCCTAATGTCGTTATGACAGTTGATAAACTAAAAATTATCTTATATTAGGAATAAATAATTTTTGTTTCTAATACATGGTCAATTACCCAATTTATCTACCTAAAAATGAAAGACAGTTTATAAATAGGGATGTTGGGGCACAAAAGTTCAATTTGATTTTAAATTATTATACTGACTAAACCAAATGAACTACATTATAACACAACACATATCAAACAAGCCACTATCGAACTATGTTAAGTAAAATTTCCAGTTAATTCCTAAATAAGAAAACTTATTTTTTTAATTATTTCTAAAATTTCATCTGTTCCGTTTTACCTTAAAGGAGGCGTAAAATGGGACAGAGAAGGCACGAACAGATACAATGTCTTATTTCTAATTTTAAAGTAATTTCACGATTTCTACATAATTCAACTGAAATATAAATTTTATGGGTACATTTTTTGCAAAGATAACGCTTTATATAATCTTGATCTTTTATTTTGTCAACAATATACAATAAAGGTTGAGTTGATCCTTTTGCCCCATATATACATTTATAGAGGTTATAAAAAAGTTTTATTATTTTTAAGTTAAATGTTGAATTTAACTTAAAAATAATAGATCATCTTATAGAATAATTAAATAACGTATACTTAAAAATTATATTAACGTCTCGTGAACAAACATTTATATTGTTATATTTATTACTTTTTTTAATTTTTTTATATATCCATTTATACTTCTTACGCCAAATGTCACTAACTGTAAAAATGGTTTTGATCGTAATGAAACGAATATGGAGGCTTTGGCATAGTGCTTTTAAATTTTATTGTTTTTTACCCGTATATTCCAGTGTGTTCATGTATAAATACATATTGAACAGTTTTCTCTTTCATTACATTTCATTGTGGACCTGAAAATGATAGTTCACGATACGTGCCTTGTACTTACTGCTACTATTATTTTACTCTTTCCAAATTAAAAACTATTTCTATACTAATACCAGAATTATAATTTTCTGCAGATTAAATTTTAATATTGAAATTGGCTCTCTTTTGCATTAGTGCGTAGAGCTATGGTATTTTAAAAATGAGTGACATTTGCAAACATATCAATATGTTTCCGTTTATAACTTGCTCATAATACTGCATACTGCAGTTGAAAAAAAAATCTTCACTTAGAAAAAGAATTAACTGTTTGAGTTGCTGTTTACACTTACGATTTATTAGTTAAGTTAAGACACCATAACTGCTTATAGACCCTTCAGATCAAATTTCTGTTCAAATAATTATGATGATAATAAACTAAAGCTGTGAATAAAAAAACTTGATTTGGTTTAATATCATAATGTTTTAATTTTATAGTTTATCAAATATAAAAAAATAGTCAAGAGATCCAGCATATACACCAAAACTATTTGTGATTGGGTGTCAATAAATTAAATAGAAAGTAGTGGTGCATGGCATCGTGCCTTAAGGCAAATGGCTGGAATTTTCCGTACCAGAAATAAATATTCGAGGTAAAAAATCAGTAATTAATTAATATTGATCAATGATTGATAACAATTGTTTTAAAAAATTTCAAATTGATAAGTATAATCACTATATATTTTATCGTTCGTAAAATGTACAGTGACGACCTTATCGCTCAAAACTTTTGAGAAAGTTTCCATTAACAATAGGTGCCGAATAAATCCACCTGAGTATATTTTTCTTACGATTAGAAGAACGCATTTGCAATATTTATATTTTCAATCTGGTTTGTAAATTTATAATTCATATTTGAAGTCAGTTCGAAACCAACTGCCGTACAGGTAGCATCGGATCAATAAATATTCAATATTTATTTCTTATCAGTTGACCTCAGTTCGCTTCGAACCTTCGGCCAGGTATACTGTGCCTCACGTGAGTGTAAACAAACATTG